CCTGCTGAAGATGCTTAGACATGCCTGCACAGCGTTTCATAGTGGGGTTTTGAACTGGCAGAGTTGCACTGGACAAAAACCAAAGTAAACTTGAGAGGGCATTCTTGCCATATCAAATCTTTGTACAGTTGTAACTTAGAGAGTTATTGTTCATGTTGTCATAGGGTTGAGTTTACATATTCCCTGCATCTCTTATCTGTTCTGAAAGTATCAAGACTAAAAATCACCACAGAGGTAAAACAAAAATACTTTGAAATGGGTTTATATGACAGATCTGAACTATCTCAAACTTGGATATAAATATAATCTAGAGGTGAATTATGTTCAACATATACATACAAAACTCCTACCTGTACTCCCAGTAGTACCATAGCAAAATCAAATTCTCCTGTTACACACTATGGTGGATAAACAGTAAAAGATCTGGTCTGCAATGAGTGTTGATCATCCCCTGTAAAAACTCAAGGTCTATCATGCCATTTATCATACACTAGCCCTCAGCCATATCATGGCTTATTCCCACGTTATTTACCCCTGAAACTCAGCCATCCGCCCACACTAAAATAATTCACTAAAAGTTCTGTATAGTGCATTATCAGTGGGCATCCTCTCACTGAATCCCCACCCAAACTGTGTTACGTTAGGTCACAAAATATAGATCTACTGGAAGTATACCATCTCCACAGGACTGATCTGTACCCATCATCTGAGGCGCCACCAGCCCCCACCACTAGTTGTGTTTGAACGTCTTGCATGCTCCAGCAGCGTATACTGCTTGATTTATATAGCAGTCCATTCATCTCAGTGCATTAAATATACCTATGTACACTAATTACTGTATTGTAGCTGTAAGAACAATCCTCATATATTTCCTTTTAATTCCTCACCAGTAGTTCTCCTTGGTTGCTCTCACCCACCTGTTTTTGTTTGTTATAGGCTTGCAGTGGTGGAATGAGCTGTTTCCATGTTAAGTAATTCCTGCTAAATCCCTTAAGTCATGAGTCTACTGTGGCCTTCCTTACCTGTATATTGTGCTGTACAGGATCCATGCATCTATCTGAACTCCAAGCAGCTCCCAAAAGAAAAGAAAATGCTTATTTGGAAAATGTCTAATGTGCGATTATGAGGAAAGCTGAGGCACAAAGGAAATAGAATTACTAAACTGGGATAGAAAAACTAGTGGAAACTTTTTTGGCCAGAAACTGAATGTGGCTATCTTGCTTCTAAAACAAACTCAGGGCTGACTTATCAAACACTAATAGCATTAGGAAGAAAAAATCTTAATCTAAAAAGATAAAGCTTTGCAAAGAGATTGTGTGGTGAGCTTCCTATAGCTATTTAGTCTGATCACTCAGCAGGTTTGGCTTATTAATTAATAAATTGAAAATTAATTATTTAACCATTACAATAAAGGTGGGGAAATCAGTCTTTATATTCCCAGATCAAAGTGTGAATCATCTTAGATGAAATTTTGTTTGTTCTTCAAAGAAGGAATTTGTTTTTCTTGTATGGGAATTATTTTTTAAAAAATCAAGATGATAGAATGAAAAATTGGCAATGCATAAGATTAGCTTTATGAGACTATTTTTTAAACTTTTGCTTTCACTCTCATTGTTCTGTACATAAGGGAGATTAGTGATCAGCTTCTCTCCAGCTAGAATAATCAGAGTAATCAAAATGTTTTTATCTTTGTAATTTTTTAAAAAAGGAGAAAATGTTAGGATTGATCATGCTTTACACAGACTGATTTTAGGCTTTTTCCATTCTGATAATTTGTACATCCTTTGATGTAAAAGGTGTCAATTAAAAGCAAATATTTAAGAAAAATAATAGCACCTGACAAATACATTTTCATGTAAATGTACATGCTTTGCTGCTGGAGCTCAATGATCTCTTTGTTTCCATATTTATGTGATTCTAAAAGCTCAGCTACTATAATTTTTCAGCTAAATTGTATGCGTGTTTTAGGCATATGATAAAGCTATCCTTTGAATCTACACTTCACATGGATTTCTGGCAATTTGATGCAATTTAATTAATACTGCAAACTATGGTTTGCTTGAAATAGGTTTGCCATGCAGATAGTGCCTTTGCAGTACAGTAAGGCTGTCAGAAGAAGGTAGGATTGGCTTCAATGTAATTTTTAGTGAAATAGTTATTTGTGTGATGTCATTCATACAGTAGTTACTCAAGATATTTTCGTATGCTGAAATGCTTCTACCCAAAGTTAAGTCTTTGGGAAAGTGGCAGACGGTACTGCAGTGAACCTTGATCTTCCAACCATAGCCAGAAGTTATTGGTGACATCCTTCAGTAACCTCTGATAAGTTGTTCTCTTCCTTTCTTTCCAGTGAATTATTCATTGCTTCATCTCTGTTTAAAGTTTTCTCTTTCTTTTGATCACAGGCAACGGACTTGGAATCCGAGTTGTAGGTGGAAAAGAAATTCCAGGAAGCAGTGGGGAAATTGGAGCTTACATTGCCAAGATCTTGCCTGGGGGCAACGCAGAGCAGACAGGGAAGCTGATAGAGGGTAAGATAAATGCATTATCAAAAAATGGAACCACAGGAGAGTTGAGAGTTCGGTACAATTGTTTGTAATATACATATTCTCTTGCATAACCAGTTTAATCTTGTGCAAGGAGTGAGGGGCATCTGAGAGCCCCTCTAAACCTTCATGAGTATTAAAGCAGGAAAGGACTGATAGAAGGTCATTTTATGACTTCTGTAGCCAAAGAGAATTGTCATGATGAGCAGCATTATGGCATGTCTTCAGTAATATATGCCAGCATGCTGTCTGTACTGGGAGTAAGACAATATGGCTAGAGTCCAACTGTATATCATGGACATATATCATCAATGTATATCATGGATGTACTGTTTTGAAGATCTTTAACCCGGCTTGATCATCTTAGGTACCTATGTGTGGTATTACTTACATTTCTTAGTTGCACAGGTAAAATGAATCCCAGATCCAGTTCTCTCTCAGTTACACACACTAACTTTTCCTGAAATTCCCTAAAGTCAGACTTGACTGAATTTATCTGATCTAACTTTAGTTTTCCAGTTTAAGGTAGTCATCCAACCTGCCTCAACAGGCAACAGAGAAAAAGAAGCATCTACAGAAAGGCAATTGATTTCATGTATCATAGTCCTCTGTTTCAAGAACTGTGGGTGTCTTCCTCATTTAATGACTTTAAGAAGACTATGTTATACTACACATCATCCTTTAGGCAACTAAAGCTAGATGAAATGAATTGAACTTAGTTATCATTTAATTTTCTAGGATTATTACAAATGTGATAATTCTGTCTAATAACAATTTGTATCTATCCATAATGACATAAACTGTCCCTTCTCTGTATAACTATTTTCTATTTCCTTTTTTTATATGAATGCCTGTATGCACCTGAAATGCCAATTTATCCATGGACAAAAATATAACACATTTGTTTCTAATTAATTCAACTAATTATTTTTATTTCTTTAATAAAAGCAGATATCCAGAAAAAAAAATAACAAAAGGAACAAGATAAGCAGGAAGAATAGTTCTCCCAGACAGAATTCAAGTCACATAAGTTTTCTGAATAGTAAACATGCAACAGAAGTCACAACTAAATCAAAAGTACTTTGCAGATAGAAAAGCTGAGTAAATTGATTAAAGAATGTATTCACAAAGAATAGTTTAGATATGTTGTGGGTATTACAAAACAGTGTCACCTGCATTCATGTTTTCCCTGCTGCTTTTTACATCCTTGGTGGTTTCTTTGCCAGTATTTTAAAGGTATGCATAAAAAAGGTGCACATACACTGATGTCAATGTCAATTTAAAGTTGAAGTGAAGAAATGATGTATCAACAAAAATACCTTCCTTTTTTCCCTATAGAGTTGATTCCACCATTCATATTTAATGGATGGTATCTCACTCATCAAATGATAGAATAGTGTTATTTATTGCACATGAATGATGAAAGAATTGACCTTAATTTATTGTCTTTTGAAGTCAGTATTTGCTTTGGCTCCCTCCATACAAAAGAGTAGGTCTTTCATAGCTGTGCTGGATCATGCATGCATTGTTTCAGTACCAAGCAGGTAAAGAGGAGAGCATGGTTATTCAATATTTCCCCGAGACTGGACATTTCAAGAAAGATGATGAGCAATTACTGCTTGGAATTATCTCCAGTCTTTTCGTTTCTCTTGTCGGGAACTTTTCTGGAAATTGAGGTTTAAAGAAGTTCTTCACTCACCACGTAGGTGTATTTTAGCAGTGATCAAGAACATCTTGGATTTACAATAACTACCGGAGAAGTTCAGAGATGGCAGTTTTCTTTTCTGACTGTTCATATAATGTATTTTGAAGGTTTATTCATATTTTATAGGAAGATGAACAGGATAGTAAAATATTTATACCTTTGTTTTGTTCTCCCATCATACAATTAATTGTGTTTCTGATCTGACCTTTATAAAAGTATCCTAGAGTTGGGTATGTCGGCATAAATCAACACCATTAAAATCACCGTACTTAATCTGTAGAACTTGTCCACATGGTGTCCCAGAATATGTTTTACTATTGATGTGTTAAATGTTCTGTCAGAGAGAAAAAACGCTTTCTTCAAAATGTACCATTAGAATAGCATACAAGACAAACACTTCCCCTTTCCCACTGTCATTTACCTTTTAAATCTTGCCTTTATATCTAGTTTACTTTTTATGTTATTTTAGATGGCTATCATACATCAACAAAGAATATTTGGCTACTTCACTCTTAGTTTTGTTTGTCGTAGTGGAAATATGGCTGATGCACATTTAGTCACTAGTCTTCAGAAGTGCTAAAATCCATTGAGGTCTTCAATCATTCTCATGTTGATCTGTGTAAATCCAGTCAAACTGCTAATGTTAGCGATATTGCTGATATTGTTGTGTCTGAAAACAGAGGATAGACTTCATTTCTTTTTCAAGTTATTTGCTGTCTCTCACATCACATACGGAAAACTTTATATGTCGTTATCTGTAAATGACAGTTGCATGTTAGTAATTCATAGAGTTATCATGAGTCACTTTTTCTGCTGAAATGCTATGCAACTTCAAATTAGAGTATATACCTAGTCATCAACTAAACATATACTAATGTCATTACAAGTTAATATCTTGACTCATTAACCTTTCTAAGAACATGATTCACTGTAAAAAATCCCATCAATTTAATTAATTCCTCTAATTCTAAAAACAGAAAACACTGGGTCAGGTCTGAAATTCCTATTAATAGTGTAAGGAACAAGGATAGGTTTACTGTGGTTATGAAGGAAGGCAAAGTTCTACCTGCTGTCTGCATGACTGCATCTATGAAGAAATGACACACTTTAAAATAGAGATAGCATTCCTTTCCTTAGGGAATAGCAATCCATAAAATTTTAGCCTATTTAAATAGCTTTGGAGGAGTCTTAGTGCTGAGAAGTTTATTTATAGTTCTGACTGGCAAATACCAGTCGTCTTGGTTCTTTCACCTTGAATTGCTTTCAGATGTCAGAAATATCTCTGATTCATCACTCATTGGCATTACAAAAACTGGAGGTGGAAGACTCATTCCACTGAGCTCATCAAGTTCAGGGACTGTGTCAATTTGATAGATGTGTCTGGGCTCCCTCTCGTGTTGACAGAAACAGTTCAGTTATATTCCACCTGGTAAATCTACTAGGTGAATGGCATTTTATAGTGCCAACATTTTTCAGAAACAGAAGAACCTAGAGTAAAGAACAGAAATAAAATATTAATGTGTGTTATCAACTGTTACAAGTTTTCTGGATGCCCTCAGCATTCATATTTTCTCATTGGACCTTTTCAGCAGGCTGACTGGAGATCCTGGGAACTGGTGAACCATGGGTGTCTTTGTTCCAAGTTTTCAATCAGCCAGGCATACTGTGTGCAATGCTTAAGCCAGCTGTCATTCACCGAGGTGAAGAGATTCCCTGACTTTCCAGTCTCCTGGCAATTCTGGGGAACCTGCATGGTCTAAAAGCTGATGGTGAACTTGATTTGTGGTGAGCTTACTGCCTTTGCTGACACTCCACTCAACAGCAACCATGACACTGATCAGATTTTTGTTAACTTGTCTGAGGCTTTATGGGTTCATGTTTATTTTTAATATGTATGTTTCATTTAAATAATATCTTCCCAAACTTAGAAATAGGAAAATCATATATAGTGAAGACAAAAACTCTTATTAAAAATACTGAAATTGCACCCACAGTTTCTATTTTACAGCAAATATAACAATGTAACATTTCTAGCATAACATAGAAGGATGCCACCTACCTTATGAGTCACAGACCTTTACTGTAGAATTTTAATATATAAACAGTCCATGCTAGCAAAGAGACATGCTATTCAATTCAATTCAGCTGAATTTTGCATTTTGTAATTTAATACAAATATTAATCATACAGGGATATTTTAAGCTTCCCCATCCTGAAGCTGGTCCAATAATGTTATGAGAAAAAATACCAGATGTATGTACAGACAATGAAAGATAATGCCACCCTGTTAAAGCTGTTAAGTAGGTCAGAGAAGAGAAAATGCACTGCCATTTGAGAGTTCTGTGGTACTTAATGGTGTCCTGCCCCTTAGTCCAATCCTTAGGCACTTGTTTTGATCTAGAAGAATACCTGCTTCCCTTAGGATGCAAGAAGCATTGCCCCTCAAAACACCATGAAGGTCCTCTAAGAGGAGGCACCTGCAGCCTGATGGCAGGTACCAAGAGTAGGTAAAAGTACATCCAATGTCCTCAGCATCTGAAGACTGACGATGAGTTCTTAAATATACTCAATATCTTTTAGACTTGGATTCAACTGCTAAGATGCAGATGGTCAGTTTTCCAAATTGGTTGGTTGCCTTTAATTGTGCTGGAAGTTCTCCAGGCCACATGGCCTGTTCCCCTCAGGACAGTATTTTGAACAAGTGGGTCTTTATTGGGAATGTCAGAGCTGTCTTTCATCTTCAGAAAACTGTGCAATCTCAGAACTTTTAGAAGCCTTCAGGAAATAAAACTGAAGTCTCCACGTTCCTCTTATCCCTATTTATTCACTCCTCTTTTCCTTCTTCTATAGAAAGTCTTACATATTCTTACATGTTCAAGTGTCACAATTTCCTTTTGTAAGATGTTCGGTGGACAGCTCGTTCCCTCTCTCTCTCATACCCTAATATGAGACCAAAGAAACATCATTAGAATCATTCCTCAGAGTGAATCTAAGAGTCTTCCCTTGGACTGTCGTGAGATGGCACAGCTGATTATCTCCTGAAGCCATGGACCATGGCCACAGTGTCAAAGAGAACACTTCCTCACAGATATTAAGCCAATATGAGGAGAAACATGTTGTTCACCGCTTGCCACCATATAGCTTTCCACACCAGGACTAACATATGAGATGAACAGTGTGTACCAAAACATCATGGTGTGACAGGCAAAAGAGGGCCATATCTAGACCAGTGGGAAATGTTCTCCACCCAAACCAGAATGTGATAGGAGAAAGGAGCAAA